CATTTAATAAAGATTCTAAAACCTGATTTGTGGGTTTGTGGTGGTTTCTACCATTTACAATAAGTTGCAAATTATCAACTTTTCTCAAAAAAAGATTTAACAAATCTGTGTGCAAACCCCTTTTTATTTTAGTGTGGTATAATCGAAAAAAAAATGTGGTAGATTTGAATAAGATGTGGTAGATTTTCCAATTCATATTTTATTGGGTATACATATCGCTCACCGTCGTCAAAAGAAGCACAACTCAAAAATTAAATCGGGAAATATAATTGCTAGTGGATCGTACAGATTCCACGCAATTGGTGCAAAAACAAGTATAACATTAGTTTTCTAGTTAGAGAATATAATCATGAAGAAAAGAATATTTTATTTGTATGCAAAAAAATCGACCAAATTATTTTCCCATTGCATAATACTTTAGCAAATATAAATAGGCGTATTTTTGAAATATTAGAAAGTTAAGGCACAGAAAATCTATTGATTAATTTGAATTTGATAATTGAATTAATTTTTATATTTCGAATTACAATTGAGTTGAAATTCCAGAGTTATGGGAAAATTGTAAACAAATGTTCTGTCTAAAATGTGGTAGATTTTAAGCCTTGTGTGGTAGATGTGGTAGACACCCAAATTTAAAAAAAAAAATACGTGGTTTATCTACCACACATGTGGTAGAAGCTTGCACACTGTTCTAAACGTATGTTTTGAGCAAATTGATGTTTAAAGCTAGCAATATATCCCATGTCCATTTTCCAAAACTATAATAATAAACATGGCAGTTTTTTAGCAATTTGGTTCCTGTAATTAAGGAAATATTGTAGTTTTGGCATTTTTCGAAATTACCATTTTATGAGAGGGACCAGGTTATTGTTCGACTTTTGTATTTTCAATACCCTGCTGCCCTAGATAAAAAAACCCTCGTACTGAATTTGGTTGAGATATCTCAAATTTTGTTAGAGTTATCGTGTACGCAAATAAACGGGCATGGACTAATCATCTTCCCTTTTTATTCTGAGCATTTTTATGTATATATACATACATAAGTAGTACATACGAACATAAATGTATGTATCCATATCGATTAATTTTGGTTGTTCCAAATAAACGTTATTTGAAAAAAAGTTATGGTACCCTCTTGCAGAACTGCGTTGTAAATATGTTTAGGAAACATTTAAATTAATAGTTAATTAAAAAAGTTGCTCAAAGTAATGGAACTCCTCAACCCCTTTAAAAAAAAACAGGAACCCTTCTGAAATTTTGTTTTGAAAGTTTTCTTATTTGAAAACTGAAAAAAATCACAGTATACAGCAAACCAGCATATTGTCAATGCTTATTTGAAAACTAATACATGAAATGTTGTGAATATATAGGATTTTTTTGTCATTAACCCATAGGCAACAATTGGTGCAAAAGTACCTACAAATGTTTGTTGATATATTTGAAATGTAAATTTGAACAGCAAAATTCGTAAAACAAATTATAATAAAACAAAAATATTGTTAATTACTACGTGGGAGGTGGGCGTGGTTATTGGCAGATTTCGACAAAATTTAACACTAACCTAAATTATACCAAAGGCAACTTCGACACCGACTTTCGTTAAAATAACTAAATTTTGTTCGAGTTAGCGTGTTTACAAACAGAGAGGGCTGAACTAGTTCATCTCGTCATTCTGAATATATGTGTATATACGTACATACATTTTATACGGTTAACAAACGCGCTCGCTTATCTGCATAAACCGTCTTTACTTGCATTAATTCATGCATTATCCTCTTTCAAATGTGAATAATCGGCTGAACAAATACACACAAATTACGGGCATTTGGAAATTGGAGAGTTGTACCATAAGCTAAGTAATACTTCTTTTACTGCCTAATCGATGGGACCATTTTACAAAGTCAGCCCACCATTATTCACTCAAAGTTGTGTTCAGAACACGGTTTACTTATGTAGGAACTGCATCCGGTCATAATTGCTAACGCTTCACGCTTCATTTGCTTGGAATTTCGTGTTTCTCGTTATTTCATTTTATGTGACTTGGAAATATTTTTCACTATAAGAAAATATTTAAATTGGATTTCATTTGGGTTAACGAAAACGACAACTGTGAAAAAATATTTAGTACAAAAATAATTGTGATAAATCAATTTTGTATA